AGCTGCGACTGTGTGAAGGACGCAGTGTGGACGAGCTGAAGTTTGTTGAGTGGCCTTAGGTCAGTGCGTCTGGAACGGCTCATTGCAAGGGGTGAATGACCTTGAGACAGCAGAGCCTGAAAAAATTACGCCCAACTGGCAATGGTAGCTGCTCGCAAAGCGTCCTACAAACTTGCGTGTGAGGGCAACAAGACGTACGTTAGGTTTGGACATCTGTTTGCGGTCAAAAATAATCATTGGGAGACCGGTGCTTCCAGAAGTCACTACAGCCACCCAGCCAGACTGCTGGACTCTGTTGGGGGTCAGAGGTCTTCCTCTAAATAGGAAAAAGCGGTCAACCTTCATGCGCAGGGAGTCTGTAGACTATAAGTTGAACTCATTGGGGAGCGATTTGGGATAACAGCACGTTCCAGTCATACAATGCGTGAACTATCTCATGAAATGTTGGCTGAAATTCAGAAATGCGTTTTCAATTAGGAAGGATTACTTGGTCGCGGTTGTGATACTGATTACCTTAAGGCATACTCTTATAACATTTTAGACTCGGCAGGATGTCGGCTTTAAAATGCGCTTCTGTTTAATCTCCTGTAGAAATCGTGCTCGGTAAAAAAAAATGACAACTTAAGTAGCATGCATTTTTCCCATTAATTTTCGATGGTCTTGGAAATTCAAATATATTTTATAGAAACCACAAACAAAAATGCGTTTTCTTTTAGTCAATCAATAGAGAATTACGTCTTCTTTATATTTTATACCTAAAGAAGGAGTATAATTAGGTTTTAAAAAGTTTTTAATTATGAGACTTTTTAAGACCGCGATATGTCCATTCACATAGCGTCGTACCTGGCCGTTTACCACTGCTCCTCATGAAATGTACAACATGGTCCGCATCCATTGCAAAATTTTATGGACCCCGTATGATATCTCTTTAATGACATAGAAAAATATGGGATTTTCTTTACGCGGAACGCATGCACCTTGTAGAGTGTAATCACTAAGCGCTAATGCAACGAATGATCAGGCTCCAAATTATTCGGCAATTAGGAAACTTTTTTAAAACCTAATTATACCCGTTCCGTAAGTATACAATATAAAGAAGACGTGATTCTCTATTGATTGACTAAAAGAAAGCATATTTTTGTTTGTGGTTTCTATAAAATATATTTGATTTTCCAAGACCATCGAAAATCAATGGGAAAAATTCATGCTACATAAGTAGTCATTTTTTCCGAGCACGCTTTCTATAGGAGATTGAAAATAAGTGCATTTAAAAGCCGACATCCTGCCGAGTCTAAAATGTTATAAGAGTATGCCTTAAGATAATCAGTATTACAACCGCGACCAATTAATCCTTCCTAATCGAAAAAGCATTTCAGAATTTCAGTCAACATTTCATGAGATAGGTCACGCACTGTAATACATGACGACAGAGAGCAGTAACTAGCTCTCTGCGACAACGTGTAGGCAGTCAGTGGCATGTGTAGGTATGATTTAAAACACGGCGGGCCTACATTCGGCAAGCCCTCCAAACACTGGCATCTGTCACTTGCAGCTAACATGGCAGATGGCTCGCCTACCAGTGGAGAGGCATAGCCCACACCGCACCGGAGAACCATACGCACGACAGAGGGCAAACAGCGGCTTACCCTATCAACGAGACTTGTTCAGTGTCTGTCACATGATCTGTTTCTGCGCCAACCGGTTTTGCGTTGCAGGAAAACGCAAGAACCTCCATTCTACGGGCGCACTGTGAGGGCGCTACAATCACAAATAAGCGCAGTACGGCACTGCCTGGTTCCCTTTGAAAACGAGACAGTGGAGACAACGCCTTTCGACGGCAAACTAATCCCTGGCAGCATGATGATGCAAAAGGCCCCCGGCGCCTCAAGGCAACCGTAAAAATCAGCCTTTTCAGCGCGGAAGTGAGAAGGCGATGCAATGCGTCCCATCACTACCAAAGTGCATTATAATAATAAATAAGGGGCGTTCGTTAGACACAATCTCGATCCACACTTCAAGGGGCTCAACAACGCCACACGCGGAACACAATGCGCCAAAGCCAGATCGTGCATCGGGGCCTGAAATCCAAGCATAAGTCGCAACCCATTGGGACGATGGATGATGGTCGGATCACGGAGCAAATCTGCCAGCAGCCATTGGAGGGCGATAATGAGCAGAATGGTATTACCGACAGAGACAAGGGTGACTGGAGTGGCCATTTCTCACTTATTGGCCGTCGTCAGCAAGCCACAACCAACCCCAAAGTGTAGAACAACTAAAGCTCGATCCCCCGACCTGTTGGTTAGAAGTCCATTGTCTCTGACCACTGAGCCACGGGCTAGTTGTCCGGTCTGTTGCGCTCGGGGATGTGCAATGGCAGAGGGGCGTTCACTGGCCGTTTTTACGTAACTTGTCTCGCTTTGCCTTAGGGCTCTCTCTCGAGCTCAGCCAGTAGCCGCATTGCGGCG